TTGATATCTCAGAGAAACTCTCCAGAAAGAATCCCAGCCAGCTTCTCCAAGGACTCACCCTATGTTGGGAGTAGATTTCTGCATATGCCTTTGATTTCAGACAGATGAGGCTTCACAGCCACTGAATAAGCTGCCAGAATCACAAGACCAAGGGCTGTTGTTTCCTAAATTGGAGGGAGGCCCTGCCCTCACCTGCTCCTCCCTAGCAGGCCTTCACCCACTCACCTGACCCTCCAGGATCCCAGAGGCCTTTCCTGGGATCCCAGCACCCTTGTCCCTCACCACACCCTGATCCTGGCAGCTGTAGCAAACCTTTGTCACAGGTCCATGGTGAGATTGTTTTGTTTCCTTTTTTTGTTTGTGAGTGTGTTTAAAATCAAAATTAGATATTTTCTTCTGCTGGACAGTATTAAATAGAGCAGGATGTTAAGTTAATCTGCCAGATTGCAGTACTCATGGTAGTGGATTAGTGTCTTCATGTTAATATTATTTTTACTTTTTTGAACAATAATGATAAAGAAGTGGTTCATTATTTTTTAATTAATGCACTTTAAGGTGGAATGGAAAGAAACCCAGAGAGCAAAGTTCATTACTTAAAGATGCAGTATATACATTTCTTATTTTTATTTTTATTTTTATATTTTTGAGTTTTCACATATGCTTTTATTTTTTACTTTTTTTTGTTGGTTGTTCAAAACATTACACAGTTCTTGATATATCATATTTCACACTTTGATTCAAGTGGGTTATGAACTCCCATTTTTACCCCAAATACAGATTGCAGAATCACATCAGTTACACATCCATTGATTTACATATTGCCATACTAGTGTCTGTTGTATTCTGCTGCCTTTCCTATCCTCTACTATCCCCCCTCCCCTCCCCTCTTCTCTCTCTACCCCCTCTACTGTCATTCATTTCTCCCCCTTGTATTATTTTTCCCTTTACCCTCACTTCCTCTTGTATGTAATTTTGTATAACCCTGAGGGTCTCCTTCCATTTCCATGCAATTTCCCTTCTCTCTCCCTTTCCCTCCCACCTCTCATCCCTGTTTAATGTTAATCTTCTTCTCCTGCTCTTCGTCCCTACTCTGTTCTTGGTTACTCTCCTTATACAAAGAAGACATTTGGCATTTGTTTTTTAGGGATTGGCTAGCTTCACTTAGCATAATCTGCTCTAATGCCATCCATTTCCCTGCAAATTCTATGATTTTGTCATTTTTAAATGCAGAGTAATACTGCATTGTGTACAAATGCCACATTTTTTTTATCCATTCGTCTATTGAAGGGCATCTAGGTTGGTTCCACAGTCTTGCTATTATGAATTGTGCTGTTACGGACATCGATGTGGCAGTATCCCTGTAGTACGCTCTTTTAAGGTCTTCAGGGAATAGTCCGAGAAGGGCAATAGCTGGGTCAAATGGTGGTTCCATTCCCAGCTTTCCCAGGAATCTCCATACGGCTTTCCAAATTGGCCGCACCAATTTGCAGTCCCACCAGCAATGTACAAGTGTACCCTTTTCCCCACATCCTCGCCAGCACTTGTTGTTGTTTGACTTCATAATGGCTGCCAATCTTGCTGGAGTGAGATGGTATCTTAGGGTGGTTTTGATTTGCATTTCTCTGACTGCTAGAGATGGTGAGCATTTTTTCATGTACTTGTTGATTGATTGTATGTCCTCCTCTGAGAAGTGTCTGTTCAGGTCCTTGGCCCATTTGTTGATTGGGTTATTTGTTATCTTATTGTCTAATTTCTCAAACTAAAAAGTTTTTTTCTCAGCAAAAGAAACAATAAGAGAGGTAAATAGGGAGCCTACATCCTGGGAACAAATCTTTACTCCTCACACTTCAGATAGAGCCCTAATATCCAGAGTATACAAAGAACATTTCTTATTTTTAATAAATTTTTAATAATTAATAAAAATTCTTATTTTATTAAATTTTAATAATATTTTTATTAAATTTTTAATAAATATTTATTAAAATAAAAAAGTAATTTATGGTTATTTTAAAAAAAAAACTATTTGTTGCTACTCAGTTCTAGATACTAGTAGAGCTAAATTCCAATTGATATATGAAAATAGGGCCCTGTATGATAACTTTGATCTGCAATCTGGTATCAGTAATCATAAGGTCTATAAACCACTGCACTGAAGTTTAGTAATTCCTATTTATTCCATGCTGGCCATAATACAAAGTGCTTAATTCCATTTATCTTATTTATTTTTACAACAACTATGTGTTATTAAGTAGGTATTATTAATCCTATAGCCTAACAGGCTGATTTAGTTTAATAATGTGCTCCAAATTGTACTCCCAATGAATTGTTCAGTCAGAATTTGAACCCAGCTAGCTTCCATTTATTTTACTGTCACAAGATCTAGGGCTCATAATGAGGAATATTAAAAAAAGATAAGTTAAAATTTTTAATTTTGACTGCTTATTATATGCCAGGTAATTCTAAGCCCGTTCCTTATAGATCATCAACACCACATGACAATATAGATCCATATAGGAGTCTGTCTTGACAGAGGAAGGCAGGTAGGTCTAGAGCAATGGACTTGCCCAGGGCAGAACTAGAGCAGGAGCTGAACAAGCATCCAGGCAGCTGGCTGCAGAGCCTGCACTCTTCATGGTGCTAGAAGTTCTGCAGGACTGTATAAATGCTCTGGTGTTTACCATCCAACCACCATGGCTCAGCTCCCTTCTATCAATGTGGAAAAGGGACCAGGACAGCAAATCACAGGAGCACTGCATGGGAAACAAGGAAGAGAGATCAGCAGCCCCAGGTGAAGAAGGAGGTCAGATGAGATGATGAACCTGCAAGTGATGCTGGTGTGCACCTATCTGCAAACCACTGCCCAAGGATGTTGGAGAAGGACCAGGTGGCAGGGAAGAGGATTGTGGGCTGTGAACATAGCTAGTGGCAAAACTGTCAGACAAGTATCAAGGTTCACTGTTCCACTATCCCAAGATATATGGTACACAATAAGAAATGTTGATATTAACAAGGTAATGATAAAGTGCACTGAGAATTTATTAGGTCAGGTAATGTCCGAAGCACTTTTCATCTCACTCAACAAACTCCAACAAACTATTTGTTGATCTACAAGGTTATGCATGTATGAAATCAAAATTGGATATTTAATTAAATGCCATTCAAGTTTGGTTTGTAAAAAAAAAAAAAAAAATTGACACACACCAGGTACAGTGACAAACATTTGTAATCCCAGTGAAGTAGGGGAATCTCAAGTTCAAGAGCAGCATGGCAATTTAGGGAGAACTCAAAATAAAAAGGTTTGGGGATGTAGCTCTGTGGTAAATCACCCCTGGGTTCAGTTACTAGTACCAAAGGAAAGAAAGAAAGAAAGAGAGAGAGAGAGAGAGAAAGAGAGAGAGAGAGAGAGAGAGAGAGAGAGAGAGAGAGAGAGAGAAAGAAGGAAAGAAAGGCACTTGTCTCTTTTGTCAAGAAACATTAAGTTCTTGCCCTTGAACCAAAGTCCTCTTGAAAAAAAAGAATTCAATACATCTCTAGATCTTGCTCAGCTTCAAATTCTTGAACTGCTTTCTGAGTGCAGAAAATATTGTGGCCCAAACAGGACGTGGTGTTCTCTAAGCCTCTTGAGCTTATTATGCACATCACTACATTTTGTGTTTTGGAACTTATAAAGACAGTGTGATGATTTAAAGTTCCATTGATTTTTCATTCCCATAATGAGAAACCAGTCTCTTTTAGTTCATCTTCAACAAAATACAGTTGTCAAACTGATAGAATTAGCCAGAAGCTACTTCATTTTCTAGACTGGAGCTAAGTGCTTAAGTATAGATATAGTATTTCTAACCACAATGGTTAAAATAAAATCTTTACCATATAAATTATATGGTTGTAAAAAAGAGCTTGACTTAAAAAAAAAGTTGTCCTCTATTAAGCATAGCTTTTGTTTTCCAAATGACAATTGACAGCTTCATTTTCTAATATTTTCCATATCAGCCAAAGGTTTCCAACTATATTTACATATTCTTGTACTAAGATTTTTGTTTTTGCCAGTTTTTACCAGTGACCATCATCGGGATGCACTTAAAGTTCTTTCTGAATATTATTTTTAGTTACATTTCATTATTTGGCTTTTTAAATATGTCCATAGTCTTTCAGGACATGAGTTTCAACGAGACAATTATACATTTCCAATAAAATTCAATGCTGAAAATTTGAACATTTTATGTAATGGTGAACGAAATTCAGAACGGTGTTGAAGATTAAAAAAAAATCAAAGTATGTGCAACAGAGCAGAAATATTTGGAGAGTGATGAACTATTACTGGTTTTAACACAAGTAACATGACTTCTTTAAACCTCACAAATCAAAGACCAGATTAATTGTATTTCTTTTATTGTAAAAAGGATGATTTAGAAAACTTCTCACTTCTAAAAATTTGGTACAATATAGTTTTTATTTTTTTAACAGATAAAGTTCGTTTATAGTCCAAGGAGTATTTGTGTTATCACCAAGGCCACTATATACAAACACAAGAGGGGAGCTTTATTTCTTGGTCTCTTCCTCCTTGGACAGAGTCTGTATGATGTCCACCTCCTTGGCCTGGAGCGCTCCTCCTAGTGCTTGTGTGCTCCCTTGTTCTTATACCTGCAGGTCTCAGCCTGGTCAGCCAGAAGCTTCTTGTCAGCCTTACCTGCCTTCAGCTTGTGGATATCCTCCATGAGGATCCACTTGTTTTTGTACACATTGCCCTTTACCTTCAGGTAGAGGCTGTGATATATATGGTGGTAAATGTTAGATTCACGGTATCTCTGAGCAGCCTACACAGAATCTGCATCCTCTGCATGAAGGTGAACTTCTCCTGCATTGGAGCATTAGCTGTACTCTTCTGCTTACCTATGCCCACATGTCTGTGCCTCTGGGGAGCCAAGGTAATTTTCTGACATGCAGCCCCATAATGGATAGTCACTGTTTTGTGGATGATCAGCCATTTTTGATCAGCTTCCAGATCTGATCCAGATCTGATAGTTGGCCTTCGAGATTACATTGGTCTCACTGGGATCCAACCAGATCTTCTTTTAGCCACAGCAGAGGACACTGGAGGCAAGCCTCTTCTGAAGCCTCAGCTTCCTTCTGGCTGCAGCTGTAGCTGTGAAAGGAAAGAGCCCAATATAGTTTGAAGCTTTTCATAATATGTATAAGATTTAAACATTAAATACTTGTAACATATTACATGTATATAACATACCCATATATTCACAGAATCATCTTCATTTGTTAACAGTGTACAAATGGTTACATAGTACAGAGATCATATTTACTTAAACTTGTTTATGAAGAGTTCAGTGAATCATTTTAGTTTTTCATCTTTCACATTTTACCAAAACATCCTGAATACAATGCGTGACACACACTCTCCCTCCCTCTCTCCCTCACCCTCTCTCTCTCTCTCTCTCTCTATATATATATATATATATATATATATATATATATACACACACACACACATATATATTTAATAAAGGTAACACAAAACTCACAGGCCATATCTGGCCTGCCACTTATTTTTGTTTGTTTGTTTGTTTGTTCCAATAGGGGATACTGGGGATTAAACTTAGGGGCACTGAGCCACATCCGCAGCCCTATTTTGTATTTTATTTAGAGACAGTGTCTCAGTGAGTTGCTTAGCACCTTGCTTTTGCTGAAGCTGGCTTTGAGAATCATGAGGTCTTCCAGCCTTAGCATCACAAGCCAATATAAACAATATTGTATGGTAACACAATCACACTAATTTATAAGTTGTCTGTAATCGCTTTCTTGCTACAACACCAGAGTTGAGTAGTTGGGACAGAGAACTACCAGTCTGAAAATTCTAAAGGATTTACTATCCTGTTACCAAAAAAAAAAAAAAAAAAAAAAAAAAAAAGTGTGCTGACCCATGGGCTTCATGAATGTGTCATAATGTAAGCTAAATATTTCACTTGCTATTCCAATAAGTGTCCTTTTTATGTTTGGAATTTTCCTCTTCTAGATTTTGACTAATGTGTTTAAAATAGAATACAATATGAAAAAAGCCTAAATGTCTATATTAGTATATGCATATTATATTCACTAGTACTGAATATTGCTTTGCATGATCATTTTATAGCTGAATATATATATATATATATATATATATATATATATATATATATATATATATTTTAATGTGTAATTTTTGTAAACAATCTATTTTAAGGACTCATGTCTCATCTGAATTTGTGGTCACTTAGACTTTATTCAAGGCCAAGAGGCATACACTTTTCAACATAATGAATCACACCTCCCTTGGCTTTGAGCCAAAATGTATTTTATAGGAAGTTGTATTATAGTTCTCAACATCATTAAAAACTACAGGGATATAAATAGCTGTTTTCTTTGCCCCAAGGCCGTGGATCCCCCCCCCCCATTGTGTGAAGTATAAAAAGAATCATATTATTTATAGAAACCTAAAGAGAAAATAATGGTAGCTGACATTTGTTGAGCTTCCATGGTACTTCCATGTACATTTTCTCATTTCATCTACACAAGCACCTTAAGAAGGAGGGTGGTGTATTATTGCTGCTTTACAAATATGAAAATGAAGGCTTAATTAATATACTGGCCCAAGATCACACAACCCATAACTGACAGAGATGGAGCTCATACATAGAGTTGTTAGATTATCAAGGAAAGGCTCTTAACTGCTATCTCACTATTAAATAATAGGGGTGAGTATTTATACACTTTGAAATACTTTCACACAAGGTGACATATGTTAATTATCTTGATTTAATTATTTGTAAAATCATTAACATCACTTTATACCCCATCATGCATATAATTATAAATTTAATTTAAGTATAACTTATTATAACAGTTTCTAAATAAAAAATACTTTCACCTTCCTTTAAACATGGTAAGATAACCAGGCTCAAGAATATAACAGAGTTTCCTGGTAAACTAATATCTTCATTTCCTTCACTGGCAGACCTCAGTGGGAATGTCATTTTTTTTTTTTTTTTTTTTTTTTTTGCTGCCATTCCTCTCTTGTTGCCTAGTCTCTCCTCCATTCCCCACACACCTGTATACCCTGGAGTGAGTTGAGAAATCATGCCTTTGTGGGGTCTCTGGCTTCTCACCCTATTTATAATCCTCAGCCTGTAGACAAGTCTCAGTTTCTTTCTATCTATCTATCTATCTATCTATCTATCTATCTATCTATCTATCTATTTTTATTGGTCCTTCAAAACATTACAAAGATTGCAGAATCACTAGCTCTGAGACCCAGCAGCATTTACATACCCCCTCCCCGGCCAGGGTGGAGTGGAGTGGGTTAAGGCGGGGTGAAGAGGTTGGGACAGGCTAAGGGACTGGAGCATCCTCATTGGCTGGCGGTTAGTGTCCGACCTGAGTCCGGAACCCGCGTCCCCATTCACTGTCTTCACCCCTCATCCCAATCCAATCTCCCACCCCCCACCCCCGCCACCCGGGCCCTACTTACCTCCCGTCTCCTCGCCTGTCCCCTTTCCTTCCCAGCACCATCACCCTTGGGGCTGGAAGGGGCTGCTCTCCGATACGCGAGAGAAGTCCACGAGGCAGGAGAGGGAGGTTGGAACTTAACTCCGCACTTGTGATAGGGAGCCAGGGGGAGGCAGAAAGAGATAGGGGGGAGGGGCGGAGAGGCGAGGAGAGCCGAGAGGAGGCAGGAGAGAAGTGAGGCGAGAGAAAGAGAGAGAGAGAGACCCCTGCCGATCCTGAGCCAGAGGGCGGGCGGAGGGAGGGAAAGGAGTCGCTGGAGCCGTCCGGGAGCAGAGGCAGAGGCAGCGGCTCCGTGGCGGCGACAGTGGCAGCCAGGCGGCCGCCTAGCTGCCCGCTGGGAGCTCGGCGCTTCGCGGATCCTTGCACCTGGCAGCTGCTCCCTGGCCGAGCGGAGCCGGGGCACCCGGACGCAGTCTTCTCTTCGTCTGGTAAACCTGACCTCCTCGCAGCTCGGGGGCGGCTCCGGGGCTGCGAGATAGGACAGGGCTCCGAGGTCCTGCCGGGCAGCTCGGGAGGAGGCGGAGGCACGCTCAGGCGAGCGGGTGGGTGAACGGGCATCCTGGTAGCCCCTTCCCTCTTTCCGCGGAGTTGAATCTGTGCTGCCCGTGTCCAGGTGCTGGGCTTCCGCACCGATATCGACTCCCCATTCCCGCCCTCGGCCGCCTTGTCATGCTGCCCAAAGTGGATACGGAAGCCCTGGGACTGGCTCGATCGCGTGGGGAACGGGGCAGACGCCGCAAAACATGCAAGGTAGGGAGGCGCCGCGTAGCTCGAGGGCTCCGGTGGCTTCTCCACCCTCAGGCTAGCTTTGTGGGCTTCAGCCTCCCGCCCGGCGCAGGCCCTGGAGCAGCGGGGCTAGGGACCCTGTAGCCACAGGCTGTGGGGCGGCGCGCGGGCATCAGGATCCCTCCTCAGGTGCAGACATAAAAGTTTATGGCTCTTGAACAATGCGGGCAGAGCTTTGCCAATCGATGTCTAATTGGTCGCTTCTGATTAAGAGGATTCGAGCTCTAAGGTAACTCCAGCGGCGGGCAGCTCGAGGCTGAAGGTACTTTCGAATAATAAGATCGTTCTGAGAAATGGAATGTGTTATTGGACATTCGAGCAGATATTCTCGGTATTGCGGTGTACTTTGATAATCCGTCTGGAGGGAGAAGACTGCAGAAAGAGAAGGCGATCGCGGAAAAGCTGTGCAAGCGGTGTCTGTGAGCAGCCCCTGCCAAGCCCAGGCTGACCCCAGGGGTGGCTTGGGTTTGGACAACTTCAAAACTGTTGGCAGAATTTAAGAAAATCAAAGTTACACCATCCTTCCTTGGTAGGGTAATACTGAGTTGAGGAGGTATGGTTTGTTTCTTGCCCCCTCATCCATTCAAGAGCTGAGATTATAGAAATCCCATTTGTTTTTCAAGCTCTTGATTGCTAACAACAATAACAGAAAAAAAAAAAAAAAAGAGAGAGAGAGAAAGAAAAAAAAAAGAAAAAAAAAAGACATGTCTCAGTTTCTGAGTCTAGTGAACAAGAAAAGGAGCTGCTGTCTCTCCTGTACAAATCACTGGTCTGGAAGGTGACCTACTGCAAATGGCAGAGAGAGCTGACCCACAGGAAGGGGCAGCAGGGTTGAGTTCCCCTGGGTCCCCTACCCTTCAAAGTCTTTGTGGCTGGTAGACTGAGTGTAGTGGGTAGTGAGACTCTCTGAGGGTTGAAATCTCCTCTAGTCATGTAGCTTTGTCACTTAAATACTCAGTTTCAAATGTGTAAGAACATTTGAAAATGCTTCTTACAGGGCATATATCTCAAAATTTACAAATACAGAGAGAGATAAGGTGTGTTTACTGTGGTGATTTTTCAGTCTAGAAATTAGTTTATTCATTTATTTACTTCATAAAAGGTACTGCAGCATTTTTTTTAGGCCCAGCCAGGCTCGTGCTCTTTTCTTTGCCCCAAGGCCTTTGGTCCCCCCAACCTCATTGTGTGAAATATAAAAGAATCATATTATTTGTATAAACCTAAAGAGAAAATAATGGTAGCTGACATTTGTTGAGCTTCCATGGTACTGTCAATTCTGCAGTTTATTCCAGGAATGCCTGAGTGGTCTTGTCACATAAAACCTGATACTGTCACTTGATCTGGGGACTGAGAGGTATGGCAACCTTCATCATTCTTCAACCTTCATCATTTTCATTGGGTAAACAACACAGTGATGCCCGGATATAGATCAACACAACAAGAATGTGGCTGTCTCTGCTGTTTACTATTTAACCCTGCACTAGAAATATCACCTGACACATTGAAACCAATGCCACGGGTTTGATCGCTTGCACCAAAAAATTAAAATCTAAAAATAAATCAAAAATAGACCAGAAAGGATGTAAAAACCTTGGAAGAAAGAGATCAAATAAATATCACTATGAAATATAATTGTAAATGTAAACACCCAAACTACAAACAACAAAAGAATCTGGTAAGCTGCTGGCAAATACCAAAATGATCCTAAGTTAACAGGCAGCACCTAAGAGCTGCCTTGAATCATTGTCACTGGGCCACCTGTTGAGAATTGTCTCAGGTGAAGGCTAACCACAGGATCCTTTCGACCATCTGATTTCAAAATGTTTATCCTACCAATTCTGAAAATTCTCTTCCAGACCATGTCCTTAAATTACCCAGATGAATCTTCCTGAAGTGATACAAAGAATATTCAAAGCTGATTAAGCACTTTCCTAAGCAGCCGATTTAAAAAACAAACAAACAAACAAAAACCCCCAAATCCCTCAACAGAGTTTTTGGCATATTTACAATTTGAAGACCACCAGCTGCACTCAGTTTGTCCCCTATGCTGAAATAGTGGTAGTCCTGGGACTTTTCAACCAAGGTGAATCAGGGTTTCTGAGCATGATCAAAAGATTTAAAAAAAAAAAAAAAAATTTCCAGAGAAAGTTTGTCACAGACCTTTCAATAATCATTGTCCCAGGGTCTCCTACAATAATGGTTCTGACCCAGTGAGAGGCCAGGATTAAAGAAATATGCTTAGAATTGAATTGAGTCCACCAGAGCTACTGTTAAGAGAAATGCATTCCACAGAGTACTCCTCAGAGAACCTCTCCTTACCAGACCGTAAATCTTTGACTTCTTTTCACTTGATATGTGACCACTTGGAATTCATTTAAATATGACTGTGAATATACGCTCATACATGTTCAGAGCATATTACTTATACTTCCATTTTTCCTGGACAACATATGCAGTCTTATGTAGGACTTTGTTATTCACAACTCTGGGATAAGAATGAAATGTTGTATAGCTTTAAAATAAATTGCATGCCTTCTAGATAATTTCTTTGTATAATTTTATATGGTTTTAAATACATCACAATAATGAAAGAGTTAAAACATTACCTGTTTTACAACTTTAAAAAATGAACAGCAGAATCTATTCTCCTATCAACCAGATGTAATAAAACCAAGATGCCTTTTCTCATCCCTGACAATTTATGTTTATTTTTTCATCTTTGCATTTGTTTCTCATGTCATACTTGATGTTATCTATGGCTATTGTGTTTGGTCTAGAACCTTCTCTTACTACATGTCCTCATGCAGATGTGTTTGCATTAAGATTATCTATTTGAGTCTGAAACTCTGAGGTGGAGGACTCTATAGGATTGAACTCAGTTGTTTTTCAACTTGACTCTCATTTTGAACACCTGAGAGACTTTACAAATTCAACCTGGGTGCTAATCCCAAGACTCTAACTCGGTAAGTGTGGGGTGAGGCCCATACTCAGTATTTCTTAAAAACCTAACACGTAATTCTAACACATATCTAAGAGATGAGAAGAACTTTTAATACTGCACTTTATGCTGTCAGGGTTCTAACCTTTCACTCCTGTCAGCCTTTATCTTTTCTAGCATTTCCCCTCTTTTCACCCTTCTTCTCCCCTTTTCCTTTCCCTTGCTTTTTCTCAAACAAGTGAATAAAATCTGTGTCATTTTGAAGGTGCTATTTCACCTTTAACAAAGACAGCACCAGATACACTGGCCATAGACTCCAGTTCAAAAGTCCCATCTTCAGAATTGAAAGAGGAAACCCACATAATCTTTTCCTCACTTTGGATGCTCATAAAGTCTAATGGTAATTTCTGAAACAGGAAGGAAATAAAAGAGTATGACTCCTGGAACTGAATGGAACTGCAGACAAGCTGCCAATATGCAGATGAGCCACCAAAGCCTGGGAGCTATTTGCCATCTATCAGCATAGAGGGAGGTTAGAGTGGAAATCCCCAAAATGCAAGTGACTCAGTTTTCCCCTATAGAAAATGCTTCATTCCAGCTGCCTGATTTCCCTGCTTAAATAAAGGGGATATAACCATGACTGAACAGGAGGGGGAGTTCACCATGCTTCCTGTACTGGTGGCAATGTCAATTGGGTTGCTTCTCTACTCTCTGAGGCCTTGGAGAGCTCTCTGCAGAAGCTTAAGATATTGCATACCAGGAAGGGAAAAATAGAAGTTGAAGGGAGATTCAACCATGCATTTTCTTCTTTGTCAGAGACTTGTGTGGTGGGAAAGAATGAGAAGGGCTGTTTCCATTTCAACTTTTCTACTAACAGACTGTGCCACCTTGGCAGATTACCCACCCTTTTTGAGAGTGTTTCCCCAACTGTGAAATGAGACTAGCACCTTCAACACAGGACAGGTGTGAAGGACAGGTGAGTTATTGTACCTGAGTTAGTGCACATTTTAAGCATATAGAAACATGAATCTGGATGCAGCAGCACACACTTGAAATCCCAGTGCTTCAGGAGGCTGAGGCAGGAGGATCAGATGTTTGAGGCCAGCTTCAGCCTCCTAAGTAACTTAGTGAGACTTTGTCTCAAAATAAAAATAAGAGAGAGAGAGAGAGAGAGAGAGAGAGAGAGAGAGAGAGAGAGATAGCACACTAGGGTTATGTCTAAGTGTTTAAGCGCCCCTGGGGTTCAATCCCTTGTGTGAAAAAAAATAATTTTTGTTGCTGTGAAAGTATTTGGAGATTATTTGGTATATAAAGGAGGCAAGAGAGAGAATGTGGATGGAAATAGTAAAATGTTTGGATATAACTGATCTCACAGGTATATTTTTATATGTATGAAGATGGACCTACATTTTAAAAGTTCAATTGTGTCTTCATTGATTTTAAGGTATAAGGAGAAAGACATCAACAGTAGATATTTCTTATCAAAGTCCTAATAATATAGAAGCTATCCTTTGATGCTTCCTTTAAACTTAGCACAGTGATAATATCTTCTTTTTATATCATCTCATCATCTCATTTAATCACAGCCCCAATGATGTAAGAGTTCTCAGTAGCCATTATCCACAACTCTGTGCAACAGTTAGTGTTATTCCCATTTTTCAGATGATGAGTTTGATCAAAAGAGAATTTTTAAAATCTTTCCCAGGATCTGCACCTAATAAGCAGTAGAATAGAGTTTCAACACCAGGTGAGTGTGACTAATTTTTATTTTTATTTTTAACATTTATTTATTTATTTATATTTTATTATCTTGAAGAGAATGGAAGCCATGCTCTCACTAATTGGAAATTACTTTTTAAAAATTTTGAAATGAATTATTTTTTTTCAAAATGAATTCTTATGGCTAAATGTTGGTGTCCAGGATCCTAGAGGACATCTCCTTGGTGTTCCCTGTCCTCCACACAGCCTTGGCATTTGGGAAAGCTGACCACCAGAATGGTGGACGATATGCTCACTGTCCTTCCATCCCAAAGGCAAGCCCAGGGAGTGACCCTCAGGGAGGGAGCCAGCCTGCCTTCCTGGGGCTCTCCCACCACCAGGTGACAAAAGAACCCCTAGCCCAGGCCCCATAAAGCAGGCACTAGAGATTGGCACAAACTCCACCAAGAGACTTGGTATAGCAGCAGGGGGATTAGAGAAGTGATTTGGTGGAAGTGTACTGTTTGATTCCAAAATGCACACCAATACAAAAACTATCAGTTGTTGGGAAACCTGTCCTCCTTTTATGAAGGCTTCTTAAGAAAACAAAGAAAAAAACATCTATATTTAGAAATGTGAACTGCCCTTAAAATATTTCTTTTCTTTCAGAGACAAATAATCAACATGCATGTGGCCACATTTGCTATCCTATTTTTTAAACTAGACTAGTATGCAAAATATCAATCAGCTCTGACCCAGGGTGTAGAAGCTTCCATCAAGGGCCATATTCTTGCTGGGTGGGCCATGGTCTGCACTGCCAGGACACAACCTACCTTATTCTCTGGCCCCAAATTCATGCACACATACAAGAAGGGTCCACAATCATGTCACGATCATTCCACAAACATCCCCCTTCCTTCTACTGCCTCCTGTGTAAAAGACTGTAGTAATATAGTGAGTACAGGCCTAAGTACCAGAAAAGAAAATTTATAGAATTAATCTTCAGAAAGGACAACTCACCCTTGGTAAATGTTGCATAATGTAAAAAAGACAACTACAGCATGATGCAATATAGAGGGAATGGAGCCTCAGTTTCTTTGTATATAAAATGAGCTTGGTATTAATACCTAGTTTGGAAGAGTCAGGAAACTATATTGAGAAACATAATTAAACATGCTCAACTCAGCAGTTTCTGGCACATTGATAGCAGAAACTATAAATAGTTTCCTCTTCTTCATATGAAGATTCTGTCACTCTCTGAGCAGTGGAGGCAGATTAGAGTTGATTCATCCAGGTATTTAAGCACAAGTTTATCCAGTGACAACTGCCCTCCACTCAGTCTCTATGTTCACTGCATCAATTAATGAGCTTTCTCTGGGAGAAACTGCCAACATGGAGATTGTTCCTTCAGAACTCTAGGCTTAGGCTTAAACACTATCCACACTCAGCTTGCAGAACAAGACCTCCCAACACTAAGCCATGTGCTGGCTTTGAAAATAGGAGGTCATCTTGCTGGTGGAGCTGTCCCACAACTTGTTTCACTATGTTCTAAGTATTCTTTGTAGAGTTGCCAAGACCTGCAAGGGTTCAGAACTAGGAAATACATATTGGCTTCTATAATCACTAACACCCAGGAAGGAGAGACAAATAAAGAGGCCTGACCCCATTCAGGACCCATTCCAGATATTTTTTTAAAAGGCCAGTTGCCCACAATACAGGTCACACGGGTTGAACAATCTGTGATTGTAGCCTATTAAGATCCACAGAGAAACTAAATAGTAACAGATAAATAACCTAAAAGAGCTTAAAAATTCTGTTCTGAATAGAAAAGAATCCCATGTAGGGGCAAGATGGCATGAAAAATTGTAGGTTAATGGCCTTTCACTTTAGAATATAACGAAACACTTATAGTCCCAGCCTGGAATAAAATATATTGTAGGACACTAATGCATATAATAACAGTTTATAAATAAGTTGTGTTAGCACTGATTGCAATAAATTGCCTTGTTTTAATATGATATTGTAATTAAGATATGATTGGCTTGCTGCCTGATTCTTGCCTAATTTGGCACCAAATAATTTTTTTTTTCATGGACAGTAGTTGTGAATGAACCTAAACTACTTTTACTAATATTCTTCTTGTGGGATGAACATCTATTAGAAAAACAGATCACAAGTTGGATAAATCTGTGCCCTCTTAGGTAACAAATATTGTCATTTCTGACTCAAAATTATCCCCTAAAATGTTTCTAATGTATAAAACTTTTTTCTAAATTAAAACCCTAAATAAACACTATAGCTTCAATTGCTATTAGTTGATTTAAAAGGCACTAATTTGGGGGGTCACATGGCTGGTCACATGCATTATTGGTCTTTACTGGCTTTGCCTAGCTCACACCTTGATGAGTGGGTTATGATAATGATTACCTGGGCTACTCTTCAGGGACCTAAAGGCCACTTTTCCTGATTACACCACTGAGTCTTCACCTGGGCCTACAGATATCTAATCAGTAACTGCAATAGGATGAAAAGTCTGAAAATCTCAGTCTTTATTCTGTGTCTGTCTCCTTTGTTACCTTAACCTTTTGCCAGACTCTACCAAGTTCCGCATCTAGACACATGGATCATTTTGGAAATGTTTTGCCTAAAATTAATATAGTTAACATGACCCAGACTGCACAGGGTTCTGTGTCTGTCTCTCTCTCACTCCTCCCTCAACTACCAGCCATGATGAACACAAAAAAACAAACCATGAAGGACTGAAAAAAGGTGGCATAGGAATTCCTGCAAGCTCTCTGCCAATTCCCAGAGAAGACTTGATTATTCCTCTCCTTTCCTTCATTATCCTATCCATCTCTCTCATCACTCCTGTCCTGTATCTGTAACTCATCAACCTCCTGCTGACTGGTAAGCTAAGCTCCCTCTTCTTTCTTCCACCACTCAATAAAGTCTTTCTTTCTCCCCAGCACTCAGCTCTGAGACATTGAGTTTCCTGTGGGATGATCTTCTGATCTGAAGTTGGTAACACAATTTCCCCTTCCATCTGATCTATACCACTGGGTACATGCTGTACTCTTGGAAAATACCACTGTAGCTGGGAGCACAGCTGTAGCTGCAATGCCCTTACCCCCCAGCTGCCCCCCACCACACACACACACACACACACACACACACACACTGTTCAGTCTAGTCAGATCTCCTTCCTCTGGGTAGCTGTGTGTAGTTCCATTCTAGCACTACACCTATCAAAACATTAGCATCTTCACATGACCCTCTTCATCCTAGTCCTAAGTAGGCATGCATGACTCACTTGGTGTTTCCTGAACGAATAGTCTTTTGGGCATTGGATTAGAACCTAGCTGCATACCGAGGAAACAGAAATTCACAATCATCTCTGCCTTTAAGTGTTTCAATTTAGAGAAACAGCATTGTACAAACCACCTCTATTTGGCACAATGACATTAGCTTTCCATCATGTTAAAAGAAAACAGTGCCTAGAAAGCAAATGGAAGTAGCAGCTAATTGGTTGGAAAATGATGGGAAAGATCATGGAGGTGGCTTTTCTTTGCCTGGGAATTAAAGGAAAGACTGCCAGAAAGTCTTCCTATGTATATTCAGACATAAATTAAAATACATCATTTCAATGTATGATCCCATGAAAAAAACAAATCCATCATTCCTGAACAGCAAATAGCATTATCTCTTCTAAAAAAAACACAAAAAGCAAACATTATAAATCTTGGATTGAGAAGAGAGGAAGGAAGGAGAGGAACGAAGAACTGCAAGATGAAAGAGAATTTAACACACATGGTAGAAGGTGAACAGAAGAATATCACTATCAAACAGCATTCACACAAATCTTGTCTCCATTTTACTGGCTAAGTGCCTACTGAAACAGTCATATCTTTATATCACCCAGATGTTTTAAGAACTCTTTCAAGTAAATGACTAACAACAGGTAATTAAACTCTAGCTTTCCTTTTCTATACTGAATGAAAGAGATTAAGTCTGCATATAGATGGAGGCTGTAGGTTCAAGCAAGAAGCCATCAGCTTTGTCAGCTGCCCATTTTTCTCATACAAAGCTCATTTGCATGGCTTAAAATGTTAAGATCTGGCTTCTTTAACTAATAGTAACATAGTACTTGGTCCACAAAGAAAGCCTTTAGAATCAAAAGATGTTTCAGGCATGACAGTTTTAGTTAAAAAGATATTTTATTAATTTAGCATGGTGTAGGATGAAGATGTCCTTATAGTTTATCAACTATAAATGACTCAAGGCTTGAAGAAAATTAGAATTTCTCATTGTCTCTCTCTTGCCAGATATCAGCCAGGCTGCTCACTCTGTAAGGACAACTTTATGAGTTAGGGGCTTTTGTGATCCAGGCTCCAATCTAAAGAAATCTCAATACCTTGGGCTCATCCTGACTCAATGAGGACAGCTTGTCACAGAATAGGCTCTAACACTCAGAAGCTGCTAGAGAAATTCCTTCTGGCTTTGTAGTTCCATTTCAGTGCAGAGTCCTGGGGAAAACTAGAGCAGGGCAAAGGTCCTAAGGAGCTGAATACATGATGGGAGCCACCTGGGTGTCCTGAAGAGACAAAGATTTTCACCATTTCAGGTCAACATTGTGTTTCCCACTACCCCTAATAAAATGGCAGTGATGAAATGACAACAGCTACAACTCATGAGGATGTGCTATGCACCAGGCATTGTACCAAGTGCTAAACCTAATTTATCATTCACAACCACTCTGTGAAATAAATTTTATTACCATTAACGTCATTTCAATGTTTTTATTAGTTATACATAGAAGTGGAGTTCAACATTTTATAAATACATATAACATTTTTTCCATTTAAATCCCCAGTACCTCTTTTTTCCCTCCCACCTTCACTCTCTGGATCACCTTTCTCAATTCTATTGATCTTCCTTCTATTCATTTACTGTTTTTATAATTGAGGCATTATATATAAAAAAGCAGAATTGATAGTGATTTATTCATACATGCACTTAGCACAACTTGGTCAATTTCAATCTGCAGTTCTTTCCCCTTCCCATTCCTCCTCCCTTCCCTAGATTCATTTCCTTTACCCCATCATTCTCCCTTCTATTTTTATGAGATCTTCTTTTATTTTTAATTCCTAATTTCTTTCTAGCTTCCACACATGAAGGAAAACATTCAACCTCTGACTCTCTGATTCTGGCTTATTTCACTAAGCATGAACTAACATTATATTTTTAGGTGGATAAGGAAAATTCGGCCCCAAAAGTCAGAACTATTTACATAAAGCTACATGGATATGGATTAATGGTGCTAGAATTGAAATCCAGCTTTTAAATGAAGTAGATGACTTACCTGTCATGTCATAACCTATGATTACTCTTCAAACAAACTCAGGTTAATGGAGAACAGAGAAATATGATGACCTGATTTATTTCTTGGGCACAAGAAAGATGAATCCCTATCTATTAGTAAGACTAGGGGTCATCCTTCACCTATTCCAGAACTTTTCCACACATTTCCCATGGGCCAGATTTGTTTCTGTCAGAGGAAATGGCATATTTTAAAATCAAATTATTTTGTATATAGGGGAATATGTGTAGGAGGTAGAATCTATCAAGAGAGGCATCCTATTCAGCTTTGGAAATGAAGATAGGATAAAAACAACATAGCAGGGAAGAAATCCAGATTTCTTGTTCTTGACAGAGATGTCAGAATAATGAAGGGAGAATGTTTCTAGGTATTTTTTCTATTTCTTTTGGGAGGAAAATAGATTCTTTAGGGATAAAAGTCAAGCTGCATCAATTTTAAATGCAGAAAAAATATTTCTTTATTCCTAACTCATTTAGTAGCCTACACTATGGATTGGAATAGTAAAATGACATAATAATAGTGTTATCGGAGTTGAAAACCAGGGGCCCTACTTGGGAGGTACCAAGAAACAAGTTCTGGCCAAGTTCCCCCCCAAAAAAACCAAAAATAGAAAGAAGAATGATGATAAAAAATAAAGAAATTTTCAATATTTATTTTTAGTTGTACACATATATTTTGTTTATTTATTTTTATGTGGTGCTGAGGATTGAAGCCAGGGACTTGCATGTGCTAGGTGAGTGGTCTACTGCTGAGCCATAACCTTAGCCAAATAAAGGAATTTTAATCAATATGACCAGATTGGGAAGACAAGCGAGATGAAGCATCTCTGCCCTGTCTTCAGGATACTGACATATCCCAGACTTCCAGATTATATAGATAAGGGGACCAGAAATATGCATACTCAAGCCATTTTGATCAGAGTGGTCTGGTTGATCATTATCTCAGTCAGACAGGGTCTTTCCTGAAATAAAGCTGCTGTTGACTGAGGGGTAATTTCCTCTCATCACAAGACATTTAGGATTAGACATAATGTTCCTGGAATGCAAGGTGACTCAGAGCGAAAGAGACAGATATGTCAATATTGTTATCTCATTTTAACCCATTGGACATTTGTAATCCCAAGGAAAGAGTACTTTTAACAAAGGCAACCTCTAAATTCTTGTTACAATAGCACTTACTTGGGTTTTACAATGTTATACAGTGCTTTAGTGTTTATTATCCTCACAATACAGCTAAGTGAAAAAGTAGGATGGAGATTATTAACCTCATTCTCTAGTGAGAAAACTAATTTTTAAAAAGTGAGAAGAAAGAACTATTACTTAGTCACACCTGATTGATAATTAAAAGTATACAGTTCCAAATGTCTCTTTGTTGAAATTCAGGAACTAGTTCAAATGCAGAGTAAAGTTCTCAGAGGGCAGGTTGGTGAAGTCCTCAACACTGATACTACTTTGTACCATTTTCTGTTCTTATTGCTTTAGAATAAGAGGTAGGTATATGTCTGTGCATCAGAGTGCATCAACTGATTCTCAAAGACATTTCTCATACATAGCCATATTTTAGATGGAACTGAAGGTTGAAAAATAGTAAGTGCCAACAGAATAAGTATATAATAGCTTTATTTGTGCTTCCAACTAAGAAAACACTAAATACATGTGTTCTATTTTTCTTGCCCATTGTGCTAGAAAATCTAAACAAATCAAAATCAAGGAAAGAAAACTACAGACCAGTAATCCTGATAAACTCAGATGCAAAAATCTTTAATGAATTATTAGCAAATCATATTCAATAATGTATTAAGAAGATTGTATATCATGAACAAGTTGGTTTTATTTCTAGGTTTCAAGAATGGTTTAACATACATGAATCAATAAATGGAATTCACCCCTGAATTGAGGGGGGAAAAAACCCTTAATCATCTCAGTAGATGAAGAGGAAGTCATTGAAAAACTCCACCAGTCATTCATGATAGAAACACTGAGGAAATTAGGAATTAAAGAAACTTGTCTCAACATAATAAAGGCTATCTATGAGAAAGCCAAAACCAACATCATAGTAAATGGGTATTTACTTTAAAGTATTTACTTTAAATTCTGAAACAACAGAGAATGTCCCTCTCACCACTCCTATTCAGTATAGTACTAGAGATTCTAGCCAAGAATTAGGCAAGGAAAAAATAAAAGGGATAAAAATATTAAAAACAACATCAAGTCATCACTTTTTACAGATGATATATCCTATACTTAGAAGATCCAAAAGGCTCCACCAGAAGATTGCTAGATATAATAAACAAATTTAGCAAAGTAGCAGATTATAAAATCAACATATGAAAATCAAGAGCTTTCCTATATACCAATAATGACTCTGCTGAGAAAAAAAAAAAAAAAACAGGAAAAGAATCCCATTCACATCACCTAAAACAAAAATAAACAAAAAAGGAATAAAAACAATAAAAGAGGCAAAAACCTCTACAATGAAGACTATATAAAACTGAAGAAGTTACAAAAGACAGAAGACTATGAAAAGCCTCCCATGTTCATGGACAGGAAGAATTAAAACTGTTAAAATGGCCATACTACCAACATCAATATATAGATACAGTGAAATACCCAACAAAATGTCAATGACATTCTTCATAGAATGAGATACAATAGTCTTAAAATTCATCTGGAAGAGTAAAAGACCAGAACAGCCAGAGGAATTCTAAATAAAAAACAAACAAACAAATAAGCAAGTAATGCTGGAGGTATCATAATACCTGACGACTTCAATTTATACTGCAGAGTGATAGTAACAGCAATTGCATGTCACTGTCATAAAAAAACAGACAGACATATAGAAGACAAGGAAACAAACCCACACATCTATAGTCATCTGATCCTTGACAAAGATGCCCAAAAACCTATACTGGAAAAGAGATAAAACTTTTAACAAATGTTGATGGGAAAACTGATTATCCATAAGTAGGATGATGAGACTAGATACTTATCTCTTACCCTAAGCAGAAGTCAACACAAAATGGATTAAAGATCTAGGGATTAGACCAGAAACTGTGCAATTCCTAGAAGGAAATGTAGGGTCAACACTCCAAGATATAGGTGAAGGCAAAAATTTTCTCAATAGGACACTTAAAGCTCAGTAAAAATACCAAGAATTAATAAATTGGAGAAACAAACAATTTAATCAAATTAAACTGTTTAACTGCACAGCAAAGAAAACAATTAAGGACGAGAAGAAAGAATCTATAGAATTTGAGAAAATCTTTGCTAATTACTCTTCTGATGAAGAATTAACATCCAGAATATGTAAAAAAACTCAAAAAATTAATACCAAAAATTACCCAATCAATAAACGGGCAAATGATCTAAACAAATACTTTTTGAAAGGAAAAAAATACAAATGACCAAAAAAATGAAAAAAAAAATGTTCAAAATATTTAGCAACTAGGGAAATGTAAATTATATCTACACTAAGAGTTAATCTCTAGCTGGAGGGGCAGCTGTAAAGAATATGAACAATAATAGACACTGGAGAGGGTGTGGAGAAAAACAAACACTTCTACTCTATTTGTGGCATTGTAAATTAGTATGAACACTATAGAAATTAGTATAGAGGTTCCTCAAAAGAGTAGTAATGGAACCTCCATTTGCTCAAGCTTTCCCACTCCTCAGCCTTCATCCTAAAGAATTAGAGTTTTCATAGTATAATGACACATACATAACCATAATTTTAGCCTCACAATTCGTAAGAGCCACATTATGAAGACTGTAGAGATGTGCATCAATTAATACATGGATAAAGAAAATGTGCATATGTACACAGTGCAGGTTTATTTTGGCACAAAGAAGATAGAATTATGACACTGCAGGGAAATGAATGAAATTCAAGAACATTATCTTAAGAAAAATAAGCCAAACTCAAAGATAGACAAGCATCATATATTTCTCTTATAAGTGGAAGCTAGGGAGAAAAAGGAAAAAGGGTAGAAGGTGGATTTCATGAAAATGAAGAGAGACCAGTAGAGCAGATGAAAGGGACATGGGAGAGAGGCGGAAAGGGAAAGGGGAAATTGTAGTGAATGATATTGGTCAAATTATGCTGTTATATGATTGGCATGTACAAATATGAAACAAGATAACCAACCATTATGTATAAGTATGATGTACCAATAAAAAACATAAAAAATATAATTAGAGAGATATCACACAGGGACCACAAAAGGTGGTTCCTCCTGAGCAGAAGAGTCAATCATCATAAAGCATTAACAGTGTTCAGTCATTTATAAATGTAACAGAATACTTGGGAAAATTGACCTGCAGAGCCAAGCTCACTTAGGACACACTGATACCTTGGGTTGTGTGTTGCTCTCATTATAATAAACTTCATATTATTATCTATAAAAAGAAAATAATGATATTAGCACCATATAAGATTTTACAAAGACTAAATGGGATAATGCAGAAAAAAGAATAGAGCAGGGTCTATCATTTTATAAAATCTCCAAATTGGTAGCTATCACAAGTAGCAGCAAAAATAGCAGTAGAAGTAGTAGGGAAAAGATGCCAAATGGATATGGTTAAATGAGACTCAAGAATGGGGATGGGAGAGAGCATGTCACGGAACACATCAGACCTGAAAGGATCACTTGAAACCCAATAGACAAGTCAGTAGGAGATCTACCACCAAGGGGAGCAGATAAAGGAAGAACTTGAAACAGAGATTTAAGAAGCAGAGTGAGGAGCAAATTCACAGCTGACATGCAAGAATGAGACCCCTCTATTATTTAGGTCTCCAAACACCAGGCTGTAGACAGTGTGGTGTAGACAACAGGACCACATTGCTATCCACTCTCTCCTGACTCATCCCCAGCTGATTGGCCCAAGGGGAACATCTAAGTAGGAACTGTCCATCTGGGGACCAGCTGGACACTTCCTTTCTATTGGGAATTCGAAGAGAGTAAAGATGCCAACTCCCAGTAGAAAAGAAGTG